TGCTGCTGCGGATTGGGGGTGCGGCAGTTCCCTCCCCACGCCCTATGGTAACTATGGTACCCAACCCCTGCTCCGTGGACAAAGCGGAATCTGCCCAGCAGTAGTTCCCTGCAGGGTTGTACGGCGAAGGTGATGGTGGCAGCTGTTCTTTGATGGTACTGATGATGAAGATGACGACGGCAATGATGCTGTTCAGCATGATGTCACATCCATTCATGCATACATCCACACATCGATGCGTTCATGCTTGCATTCATGCATATGAACCACCTGACATACACGCATGCATACATACATACCATTATCCAAACATACATGCAGACATGCAAAGCATCTCTACATACATGTACTCATACAGAGATGTGGAATATTGGGACTTGCTTTGTGGAAACTTGGGCTTCTGAATTGGAAGCTCGTCGTCACTGGAGTGCTTCTCTCGAAACGAGCCTATGTTGAGTGCTAAACAACACATGCAGAGATGCATAACATACATTCATGCACACCCATACACCTCGCCTGATTCGTCGAGCGCGAGTGCTAAAAAATACATTCATGCATACACACATTTTGACACACATGCATGCATACACACAGAAGCATACGCACATGCATACGTACGTACATACTTGACAACTAGATATATACCTACTGTGGCATGTATATGCGTGCCCATGTACGAAAATGTACCGGTTTGCATATACCTATCTGTTTGAATGAACATGTCCGTATACATGTCTGTAGATACATACACAAACAGTACAAAGTTTTGTGGTTTCCTGTTAGCCTTTCAGTTTGCCGTTCTGTCTGTCTGTTTGTCTGTCTGTCTGTCTGCCTGTCTGTCTGTCTGTCTTCAGGTACATATGTAAGTATGCATGCATGCACCCATCGATGCACGGATGGATGCATGTGTGTCCGTAGGAACGCATGTATATACCCCGTGCTTTACGCAGAGTGACGCACATGTTTTGAAAAAGGGAGTGTGAGAAAGATAGCGTAGAGAGAGACTCGTGCTTGCCTGAGGAGCTGCACTTTGGACAAATCCGCCCGCTTTCGCATCTTCTCCGGTGGCCTTCGTCGGCCGGCGGCCGGCGCAGGAAGTCGTGTGGAGATTACAGTTCCAGGACTTCTGGGGGTCAGAGTTCTTTTCGCGTTTACGGAGCTTGTCTACTCTAGGAATCTATGTTGAGGCATTTGGGGGCCTAGGTTTTGTGATTTGGGGGTCTAGGTTTTGGCTTGGAAAACCGAAAACAAATCTAGGTTTGCCAGGCACAAAGAAACTTTTACACAAAACAATTTCAGTATCTTGTCAAAACTTGTTTGTGTTTTTGCAATTAGAAAACGATTTTATTGCTGCCGAAACTTTGACCTTTACACGAAACAAACTGATTCTCCCGTTGAAACTGGTTTGTGTTTGGTTTTAATTTGAAGATGTGAAACGGTTGTATGTATTGCTGCCACTCTTTCTATTCATTTCACAACAGAATGTACTTGTAGTATAGCTTATGGGCCATAGCATAAACGTTTGGTTGAAACCTTAAACAACCCTGGCCCTAACCTATCCTCCGATTGCGAAGCCCCAGACCCTGGACCCTTAGGCTTCTGATATACCTTAAGAACCCCTGGCCTACACCAAAACCCCTAGCCTAAGCTCTTGTTACTAAAACCCAAAACCCTGGAGCCTTGTGGTCCCCACACCCAGACCCCTATCCTAAATGTAACCTTAAGAACCCTTACCCCCACACCCAAACCTAAATCTCTTGTTCCTGAACCCACCCAAACCCCTGAGGGTTAAGAGTCTAGGGGTTTTAGGGTTTATGCTCTGCATTTACACATACGTAGAGTTTAGGGCTTTTAGGGTTAATGCTCTGCATGTACACATACGTAGCATGTTTCAGGCCAAGGCTAGAGCAGCGTAGCCCTTAGCCCCCACATTCTCCAGCATATCCCTATAAGTATACTCTTCTAGCCCTAAGGCCCCTAAGTCCCTGAACCCCGCGTTCCTTTCAGGGTCTTGCAGGCAAGCCCGGGGAGAAGATCAAGAAGCTAAGTTGTGCCGTGATGGTGCAGACGACGACGAATGTGCCGTGATGGCGCAGACGACGAGACGAGAACGACAGATGTGCCGTGATGGCGCAGCACAGGCAATTGGGAGAAGTTTGAGTAAGGAGCATCGTGCTAGGACCCGAAAGAGGTGAACTATGCCTGCAGAGGGGCAATGTGCCGTGATGGCGCAGAGCATCCAGTGAATGTGCCGTGATGGCGCACAGAGCAGACAATTGGAAAAGTTTGAGTAAGAGC